TGATTCTCGCCCCAGGCTGAGAATCTAGGGGCGGGTCTTCTATCTTAGTCTGCTCCCTAACCTTAGTAAGGTCTTTAGACCTGGCTAATTCTGCCCAGCAGTAACAGTAAGGTATTTGGCTGGGCTTAATTCTAGACCTAAGTGCTTTCAGAGTGTGAAAATCAAAGGTACTGCATTCTGGCCAAATCTGTTTTCCCGTGTCATCCCTCAGCGAAGCCCAATATTTGCATATCTCTCTTGCTCTTCGTTTCTTCATTCCGGCTAGGACAGGCATCTGCCGATCATCCCATGCCTCGAGCAAATCTCCTAGGGGAGTCCTAATTGTCACCTTTGAACTGCCGCTTCCCATGTTCCCTCTCAGATGTGGGGCTCACTTTGGCTCAGTCAGGTACAAAAAAGGAAAAAAAACTCCGGTTTTTCGGACGAAAAGGCGTCCGAGGAGGACTTCGGTTCCCTGACGAAGTACCTTTACCTCCTTCCCTGGGAACTATCTGTCACGGTTTTCAGACTCCTCGCGAGTCCGGGAGGACCTGCCACCTTTTTGAAAGGCGGTGAGTACTGACACCTCCTTTCTGCCACCGGTTTTCAGACCCCTTGTGGATCTGGAAGGACCTGCTGCCCCCCTACACAGTGAGTACTGGCACCTTCTGAACTGGGCTTTTCTTTTGGGCTTCCACAGGAAAAGGGAAATGGCACACACACACAAAAGTTCCCTCTTTTTTTTTTCTTCCAATCGCAGCCCGCTCTGCTTCTCCCTCTTATACACAGAAGGTCCCCCCCGATGACCCCCCCTTGCTTTCCTTGTCCTGTCGGTCACGGCTCGGAGGAGCTAGCAACAGGCAGGTTTGCGGCTAGAGGTCAAACAGGGACATGAGATCCAGCTGCTGTCCAAGGGTGAAGCCACTCACTCACACTCACACACACACACTGTCTCTCTCTCTCTCTTGACTCAAATAGACTGATTTTTAGCGGTACTTACCTGCTTTCCGGTAGCTGTTGAGCACAAGACTCAAAACTCCCTTTACTACCTCCCGGGCAGGGTCCGTGGATCCTCCCCCTCAGACGAAAGAGGTCTGTGCCGGCTGGGTTTGCAATCTCCGGGCCCTGTCCGGTAGCTGGGTTAGCTGGGTCCCTTCGTGGTCGCCAATTGTCAGAAGAATTTCCCAGTTCGTTTCCAGCTGGGGAAAGCTGACGATGAAGAAATTTGAGGACAGCAGCTACCGCAAAGCAGGTCTTTATTACAGGAAGGCAATAAAGTGACAGAGAAGTGACTTCAGCGTTCCTGCCTTGCAAGGTGAACCCCTGGTCCCATGTGTGGCTTTTTATATGCTTTTTCTACCCTGGGGCNCCTTTGTCCTGATTCTATTTTGGGAGTTAATCCCATTGGGGCAGGGCAGGCAATTCTTGATGGCTTTGCTATCTGAGTTTTCCCATTGTTCTTGGTGGTATGCCCAGGATTTCAGAAAAAAGGGCTTTTCCAGAGAAAAAAGTGTGTCTGCATGTTTTTCTAATGGGGATGAGAATATGGGAGTTTTGTCAGGGTAAATTTTCCAACAGGAATACATGAGATCCCTACTTTTCTTGCTTGCAGAAAATATATTTTTCTAATTAACATACAGTAAGGGAAGCATCCCTTCTCCCACCTCCCCCTCTACATCAGTAAAAATTAGGGTTATGAAAAACTGGCGCCTCCTTAAATCCCACAGTCGGTCCTGTAACCTTTGCCCACATCAAACATGGCAGCTCAAGCATTCTTATTACTATAGGGGAGGAGCCTGTCCTAACAACGACAAAGAGGATGCCTCCCCGTGTTGCTTGTTGCCCAAAGAAAGCATGGTGGCTTTTCCGACTTTTTGAATGCCAGTACTAAACATGGAACCCCACATTCTTTTCCGTTCCTTGCCATCCAAATCACAACCGTTTTCTCGGAGTTATGGACACTGCAGCTCTTTATTGTCCCCCAAGCTAGGCCCACCTTTCCTCTGCCGTCGCATTAGTAACCAGGCTTTTGCGCCCTGAAGAAGCAGCCCGAATCAAAAATGGCGCCGCAGCGAACCCTCCATTCACCTGCCCACAAGTAACATGCCACTTCTGCACCTCCCTCTTCTTGCCCACAGAAAAGATGGGGGAGGAGCGGGGGAGGAGCATCCTGTTAACTTCCATCGAGGTTGGATTGGAGGGTGGGGGGAGCGACTGTCGCCAGAGGTCAACGCTTCCTCGCGGCGACCCCCTGACTAGTTTCTCGGGGGAGGGGAGAGGCCAGACGTTCGCCTCCCTGTCGCCCTCCGTCGAAGGATCTGCCCTTCACTAAAATGTCGGCGCCAATAAGTTGTGAGTACTGTAGACGTTGGGAACGGGGGGGGGGGGGGG